AGGAAAATACAGGGTCAGAGAGGAATACAGTGGCCTGGGTCACATCAGCTCAATTGCTAGACAGCAGGTTTCAGTAGCTACCAGTTATGGGTTTCAAATAAGCTTTATCTCACAGCCGTCAGGTTTCAAACTCACTTGCTGTTGGTTTGAAGGGTGCAGCCTGTGTCCCTGCTGCAGCCCACGCTCCCGCTGAAGGTCTCCCTGCTGTGTCTGGAGGAATGCCTCCTACTGTGCTGAGGTGTCCATCCACCTCACCATCGTGGAGAAAACGGCTGCTCACAAGATCGCCTATCTCCAAGTCCTCTTCACGTTCACTGATGGAAATGTCATCTGCCCTGACCTCTGGGACTTCACACAGAATAAGACAGACCTGGAGCTCAAGTGGTACAAGGTAGAATTTTTAATTTCTCTTTGTGCAAAGCCTAACCTCATCCCTTTTGTAAAGTTAGATATGTCTCTGCTTTTTGTTTCTCTTGAACGTGAGAGTGTTAAAGTTAATGGCATTTTGACAGTATGGCATTATATTCTGGGATTTTGGGGACAGAGGTGTATTTAAGAGAGGTTCTCCAGGATGGACCAAGGAGGATGTGAGGCCTGAGTTGTCTGAGTTGTCTGAATTGCTCCATATTATACACTGCCAGTGAATACAAGTATTTTTAAATGCAGATTGCCCTGATTCAGATTTTGTAACTTCACACTAGGATCTTCTCTTTGGTGGTGACTTTGGTAGGGAGTTTTCTTTGGTAGTGAATCACTTAAAGTAGGACTGCTTGTTGTACGTGTCCCCTATGCGAACTATGTTCAGACAACTTCATTACACAGCATTTGAAGGTGACACAGACTTATTACACAAACCTTATTCTGAACCTAACTTGCTAGTCCAAGCCTATTTTTCGAGTAATCACGTCTGGTTTTGCCTATGAAGCCAGGTATCCTTCACGTGACTGGCCACAGCTGTCTAATCTTGTACTGGATAGCATGGGATTCTTGTATTTTTTCATACCTTGGTTTTGCTTTCATTTGCACACACCCTATGATCACATGCTCTGCTTCTTGCAGCTATCTTTCTGAACATAGACATAGCACCTAGGGGGATTTCTTCCAGCCATGTCTTTGCTATGGTTGATGCCATACTAATAAAGTTACTCTGTTCGAGTTTTCCTTCACAACCAGGCTATAACTGACTTATCTAGGTCAAAGTTTCACTCCACAATGTAGTCTATGACATGACTGTCAGAAAGAGCTACCCTGTCTTCATGGAGGAAGAATGTAACAGTTCCAACAGAGCTCCAGCCTGTGTATGATCAGAGTGTTAGTGATGCAGAGCAGGAATTTATTACAGCTTTTAAGATGATGTGGGGAAAATAACAGTGTTGTGAAGACCTGCACGATTACTCAAATGTATTTGTCTCTGACAGGATCACTCTTAAAAGGAGTCAGGAAAGAGCTTCTTACATCGTCTCATTCTTAAAATGCTCATTTTTTAGAAAAGTTGTGCTTGCACATGTTGTGTATTGAAATAGTAACACTTCATATACAATGCTTCATATAGTGTCTCAGAGCAGTTTTAGAGATGGTTACACACTTGAAGAACTTGCTCTTTGGTGGCAAAATGGAGCTGCTCAGATTCCACGATCGTAAGTGAATGGGTGCTTATGAGAGACGAGAGTAAGTGATTGCACTTGGAGGTGATATAGAGTGCAACAAGTCTTCCAAGAAAGACCCACGCCTATTTGAGCCGTAATACTAGTTGTTATTTCTCCAGGATGCACAGCCTTTGGAAGGCAGCAATAAAAAATTCGTAAGTCTGGAAGGTTCAACTTCTCTGACCATCACTTCAGTGCTGCCGACAGACTCTGGCTATTATACTTGCAAGATGCCTTTTCGATATGAAGGTGTAATATATGAAATCACCAGGACGATTCAGCTGCAGACTGTTGGTAAATATTCACCTTTCTCAACAATGTCAGGATTGAAACCCGACATTTTCAGACAGAAAATGTCTTGCTAGGGTGGCCCTTATTAGTGAAAGTCAGGAGGGCAACTCATGTTCAATCTGTCAGCACTGCTGAGTTCATTGCCAAAAAAAAGTGGGGCACCAGAGGAGCTTGTTGGTACTTATGCAGCAGTGTTTCCCACTGCAGCTTTGACATGGCTCAGAGCAGTATTTTTGCAAGTACCCGTGGTTGTTAAATTGAGTAATTTATATCATGAGGTTGGGGGGAGAGTCTGGGGAAAGCACTGAAAATGGCTTCAAAGGGCTTAGGAGACAAAACCTTGAATATGCTTGATGGGGATAGGGGAAAGACACTATTTCAGAAACCAACAAAACAGGGTTGCCTTGCTGGCTGGGCGCTGTGCTAGTCTGCAGCTCGGCCACCAGAGGACAGGAGTGCCACATCCAGCCTGGCCACGCGGCCCGGGTGATGCACAGCGCAGAGCCCGCACAGACCAGAGCTCTGAACCCATCTTTGTCCCCTTGGCATCACGGGGTGGGCCAAACCCACCCGACCTGTCCTCCTTTGCAGTTACCGCCATTCTGTCCTCCAGGAAGCAATTTAATTGCTCAGAGATTGCATGTTTCTTAAAATAACCCCTCTGAGTACTTACAGCTATATGCAGCATCTTGCACAAACGGAGAGAAATCTTCAGGATCTGCTTTTAAATTGCAATATTCTGCTACCCAGCAAGTCCCAGTGCAGAACCTTGTGCCTCCAAGCACAAAATTGCAAGTACGGAGATAGGGCTCTGCAAGGGGACAGACCTGTGAGTCCTGCTTCCTGTGGCTATTTAGGGAGAGCACCTAGTCAGAGCACCTTGCCAGTGCTGAAGGTTTAATTTTTACTGCCACGTACACATCCATTCTCTACTTATGCTTTTGGTCTTTTCGCTTTTACACGTATGAGAATGGGTGTGCAAGGTCTCCACACTTACCGCTCTTGAGGAGGGGGACTCTGTTTTGTGCCTGCCATTTCCATTGCTTCCAAAAGACACTCACTCATCTCCCATAAATTCTTTGTGGTGTAGCTCATGACCATTGCTTTCGGAATCAAGATGTGAGCTCGAGCCTGTCTCACTATTTCTACAAACACATATGTCTGGACTGGAAACCGACATTTTTCTCTCTGACAGTGGGCATAATCAAATGCTTAACTGGGAAATGGAAGATGCTGAGCAATGTGGCATATTTCTATTTATAGTTTTAGAAGGATAGCCAAATTTTCTGTTGATCTAGCACTGACTCTGTTCTCTGTATCTGTCCAGAACAAGAAAAGAGAATTACCCCAGTAATTGTGTATCCAACCCAGAAGACTACATCAGCTGCTCTTGGTAAGGCCCAATGTTATTACTGGAAATGTCTAATCAGAGAAAAATTGGTGCAGGTCTTCTCACAGTGTAATTAGTTGGTATCATAGAATCACAGAATCATAGAATGTTTAAGGTTGGAAGGCACCTCTAGAGGTCATCTAGTCCAACCCCCCTGCACACGCAGGGTCACCTAGAGCACGTGGCACAGGACTGCGTCCAAGCGGGTTTTGAAGATCTCCAGAGAAGGAGATATAAATTGGAGAGGAATATATAAATTGTTATAGTTCTCTGCATCTCAATTACATCAGCTGAGGGTCTGTGCTGCTGCTAGATGTTATCATCCATCTAGAAGAAACTAAAAAAAATTATTGGAGCTTTTAGCAGGTGATCAAAACCAATCAGGGGTTAAATTCAGGTTTGAATGTGGTAGGAACTTTATCTCCCGCTGGAGATGTTGGTTTTAACCAAGAGAAAGAGTAATTCTTAATATATCCCTGAGTATTCTTTGCATCTTATTTTTCACCACAGGCTCCAGGATGACTCTCCCATGTAAAGTGTTTGTTGGACCGAGCAGCCATGTCTACACCGAGGTGGAATGGCTTGCAAACGACACCTTAATTGATGTGGCTTCTGAGCAAAGCAGCGTTATAGTTGGGGAACGACAGTAAGTGAGGCTGAAAGAGTTTTGTTGTGATGGTTTTTTTAACTTGAAATGGGAAATCAACAGTTCTCAGGTAAATGTGACCTCTGAAAAACAAACAGATAAGCCAAAAAGCCTCAGGAGGAGTGAAATCATGTCTTTATCTCTGGATTTTGTTCCTTTTGCACAGTCACGAGGCAAATGGGCCATTCTAGCAGTTTACACTGATTTCTTATAGTTTCGTGGGCAGCTAAGCTCATATAAGAGCTGACTGCAGCAGAAAGCAACAGGATTCCATTTTCCTTCTCTTGTTTCTCCCCTTGCGCTCTTCTAGGAAAGCTGCAATATCCTTTCCCTTGCATCAATGCTCACATTTATGACATACTTCTCTGAACTTTTGACCACACTAAGACACAAGAAAGCAATCCATTTTTTTAATGGTTATTTTTTTCCCCTCAGGGTTGTTCTTTTCTGAGTTAGTGAGCTATCCTGACTCACAGAGTGAGTTGTAGAGCTGGCACAAGGGGAGCATCAAGGAGGAATGCTAGAGGGAGGCAGAGGAGAAGGTCCCACATCCTGTTGCACTAGCCGTTGTCTCTGCAGAGGCAGTCTGAGTTGCTTCACAACTGCATGTCTCCAGGCTTTAGTGCTAGCAGGATGAAGATCTGCTTTTAGTACCCATCACCTGAGCAGTGTTAACTCACTCTGTGCATACTGTTAGGTCTGAGGTTGTCCATCAAGCCTGCTTCCTCCTCAGGGTCACTGTGGCTCTGCCTGTACTGACATGACAGGCAAACACAGAAAAGCTTCTGGGCTATGGAACATCATTTCCCATGGCATTAATGGCGAGACTGGTTCCTCTCTAGCTAGCACCTTCTCAAACAGATCCTCTAAGCTGTGGAGTGGGATTTAACATGGGTCAGGAACAGTTCGCAACTGGGCTTTGGAATGTATCAGTCCTGTTCTGAGGGATGAGAGTTTTTAGCAGTTATGGATCTAGGGTGCTTTTGGCCATTCATCCTCAATGCCAGAAAACAACCTGGCCATGTTTGATTTATTGCATAGTTATAGCCAGAGGTGACATGGTGATTTGTGAGCCTGAGTCCTTATGTGTGATGATACTCCCTGCAGCTTGACTGAGACTATTTATTTATAATGTTGTCTGTGCGGGTGTATGGTATATGAACCACCTCAGTTCTACTGAGAGGCCTCAGATTGGCATGAAGGTGAAACACACTAGGAAAACAAACTGCAGAAATCTTTGGCAAAGCACTGTCTGCTGTGTTGCTGCCTTCTTGTGGTGCAACATTGGGATGAGTCCTCAAGAAACTCCATTGCCACAGCACATAGCAGGCTTATGAACAAGTCGTTAAAAAGCAGCAATGACAAAAAGATGTTGAGAGATACTGTTGGACTGTGGCTAGAAAACCGCTGTTACATAGCTGACCTGATGACACAATCAGGTTAAAGCAAGCTGGAAACTTTTTAGGCATCTTTTTGTACTATTAATTTTGGGCACATGCTATAGAGGAATAGTGGTTCAGCTTCCTGAGTGACCATTTGCAGGGTTATCTTCTCTACAGGTTTTCTTCCTGTAAGAAATGTAAGAAATGAATAGATTTTAGATGGAAGGAATTAGGTGCCTCTTTCCTTGCTGTATAGAGAGCTGAAAGGTACACAGAATCCTGTTTGCTTTTTCCACCCCCTTTTCTTTACTTTGGCAGGACAAATGCAGCTCTTACTTTTCCTGGAAAATTCACTTAGTACAGAAGGGATTTTGCATACTGAAATTCAAATTGTTGGCAAAGCTGGCGTAGAAGACAGAGCTGTCTTCTAGCGCAGAGGTGTTGGTTCAGAAGTGAGCAAATATCCAATGCATTTTCCTGCTATGCACTGTAAAAATGAACATATCAAACAGGGAAAAGTTGGCTTATAACAGGAATTCAATTTTCATTTTTCTTTCTCCTTCAGAGAAACCACAGAAAATGGTGAAAACTTCATTGAAGTACCATTGATTTTTAATTCTGTCAAGGAAGTGGACTTTTACACAGACTTCAAGTGTCTGGCCTGGAACATATATGGATACCAAGTACTACCAACAAGGGTCAAGCAGGAAGGTAGCTAGTTTGACACCTTATTTGAAAAGGAAACCTACCATAATATGTTTCATTATTCTAATGCTAAATTATCATCCATACCATCTATACTATCAGAAGTATTATTGGGTGAATTATTTCCTGGGAAAACTGGTTACTGTAGACTCAACCCTTCATTGTTTTTTAGAATAGCCTATGCACAAAAGAAACTTTCTGTAGACCCCTTATTGACATTTTTCACAGGCATCAGGATGTGTGCTGTTACATCTGTTCATTGGATAGGGGTAAAATTTAGATGTTCTGTGTGAAATGGTGGCCCCAGTGAGATTAGGAGAAAACTCCTATTGGATGCAAAAATACCAGATCTCCTCGAGTGCCTCAACAAGTACGGCAGGAAAAAAAATGACCATAGCGAAAGACCATAGTTTTCTTTCTTATCCACAGACTTCTGCCGAACAAGTGTAAATTATGATGGGTGTAGTTATTTTTGCTCATAGTGATGGGAAAAGAAGCCCTAAGCTCAGTGCAATTAATGTTACAATATGAAAAAAAAAAAAACATTGGCCAAAAACCAACTGTAAAAATAATGTGAAGCAATGCTAATTGGTTCTTTGCATGATGTTGATGAATCACTAAGACTTGCTCATACCATGTTAGAAAGGCACATGAACATTTGCAATCTTCATTATGAGTTATAGCTCATGACTCACCAAATTAGCCGATATGCTGCTCACATCTTCCATGATGCTATCCCTGAGCTACACAAGTATTACTATGGAGGAGGCAATTCATGAACCAGTACAGGTCAGTATAATCCAAAATGGTATGGATCAACACTGGTCTCGGAAACCAGATGTATTTTAGAAGGAAGATCACATTAGTGATCAATGATCAGGCTTTCCTGTATGAGAAAATCGCATACAGAGCTTCAGAGAGGACTAGTTGTTACATATTCCCTCTCCACTTGGGGAGGTGAGGGACACTCAAGTGAAGTTTCGATTTCCTGCTTGAAGTGCTTCTGCTTTAGCCAAATTAAGATGGAGAGCACATAGTTATTCTAAACAGGGCCTGGGAAGAGCCATGTGTACGCAAAAAGACCAAACTCTAAATTCTTGTCCCCTATTGTTTTCCAATGTCTCCCTCCCCTCCCATCTTTGCATTTCCCAAAGCGCTGAATCAATAGGTTTGTTCCTCTCACAGATGATCAACCCTGTTGAAAGGTTAATTTGCAGACATCCTTTCTATTGTGCTTTCTCCTCCTCCTCCTTGTACTTAGACACTTATGTTCCTGGGAGGTTTTTAAAATAATTTATTTTCTTTACTTTTCCAGCTGTCGGCATGTCCTGGTACATTGCAGTGATTCCCATCGCATTGGTCTGTGTGATCGTGGGGGGAATATACTTACACAAATGCTGGAAGCAGAGAGCTGATAAAGGATATACAATAGCGAAGGTTTAAACTCCGCCGTCTTCTCCAACCACCAACAGAAAATGTTTCAGTCTGAATATCCTTCACGTAAGGCACAGAGAGACATTCCAGACCAGGACTGATGCTTTCCCAGTGGATGGATGTATATCAGCTTGTTTTCCTCTTGTCCAAGTGTTCCACAAAGTTATAAATATAAGTTTGTATAAAATACTGCCTAGATTCAGGAAACCTCCTTCTATTGTTTTGTAACTAGAGTGCCATTTCTATTATTCTGGAGCAACTAGAATCCCAGATTTGTGTCCTGATTACATGAAATGAAGGGAAAAGGAGGTGCTCTCACACCTTCTACTTCCGCTAGTCTTATTGTTTAAAGAAAAGGAAAAGAAATATCCTAAAACCTGAAAAAAGGCTTGTAGGACTATTCCACACTGGGATGAAAAAAGTCTTCTTAAGCACCCGGTCTCACTTTGCTTATTATCAGTCTAAAAAGAACCATTTTTTTCCCACTTTCCAGAGTGAAATACAGCTGTAGGGGCAACTGTAAGATGGTGAACTTTTCCACAGTCTTTTTCTTTACTATTTGGATTACTTTTTGCTTAAGTAAGTGTTTTATTGCAATCTATCCTGCCCCCAGAGATAACTTCATCAACATAATGCCTACACACTGGCTAATTAAGATATGTTTAATCTCCAGACCTCTCATAGCTAGAGATTCATCATTTTCTTTGCCATGAAAAGAATTTGGAGGATATTTTATTATTTTGAGAATAATTTGACTAATGCCAGCTTTTATTCTTGGAAGTGATTTGACAGATTACCAGCAACGATGTGCAATCTTGCCCTTCTGTGTTTCTGATTCTTTTATTACTGACCTGATTCTCTTCTCTGATATGAATATGAAACTGGGGAATGGATTCCCGTAAAGAACGAACGGGCACGAGTCTATAACTGGCGCAGCTTCAGGAACCATGTATCTTCTAAATCGAAGTATGCAGATTGAATACTCATGATGCAAAGCATTACCTCTTTTTCTTAATCTAACTAGATTCCAGTCTCAATGCAGATCAGGAAGGAATAATAAATAATTGGTAGCCATTGGTGATAACCAAACAAGACCATAGGAATTATTGTTGCTAAGTGCAGGATGCTGAAGATGGGAAGAAATGCACATTTTTATGGGCAGATAAGAAAAAGGTGGCTGCAAATGTGGAAAAAAAAGCCAAGTCACTTGGATATCTGGGTTTTTTTGTAGGAAAAAAAAAAGCTATAGGTGAACTACTCCTGGAAGGAACATGAAAAAAAAAATTAGGTACCTTGGGAATGCTCATTTTTATCAGCAATTGCTAGTCTCCAATGCGAGATCAAATTAGGTTTGTTAATAAGTATTACATTTCAAAAAGTGAACTCTTCTGTACTACTCTTCTGTATCCTCATCTGACTGTATGAGCAGGATTGTATTTACTAAGCAGTAGAACAGAAATAGAACTTTTGGTACATGCAATTACTGTGCCATAAAAAGGTTAAATACCTCAGATTCCCCTCCAAACTAGAGAAGGGGAAAGGAATGTGAATGTGAGATAGATAAAAAATCAGGCATGCAGAGAGCTGATGTTACATGCTCAGAGTTGTATTGGACATAGTGGGAATATAAAGAAGCAGATGTTAATCTTTTGAAGAAGTATGTGACACTTGTTTCTCTGACTACTAGTTTACTAACATGCTGAAGGCTTCCGTGTTAGGTAGACTTTTTCAAGTCAACTAAATGATGTAAATGTTTTACATTGAACCGTATTGTTATAAACAAATGTATTATAGTCTGTACTGTTACTGAGCATGTTTCATGAAATATTTTTAAAAATTATAATAAAAAAGCATGTTGGCATGCTGGCTGGGTGGGAAGGAAGCTGCAAAATAGCTAGCGGGGTTGCCAGACACCCAAAGAATTAGTGTATTTTTCCCATATCAGCCCCTAACTGCACAGGTTCGCCCATTTTGCGGGTAATGAATCACTCTGCAATGATCTCCATCCCTTGGCCACCTCCGCTCCCACTCTGTCCTTGCAGCTGTGTCCATCAACACCAAAGGCAGACCCAAGCCTGGTGAGCTGAAGGACCTGGCCCTTTGGGGCCCACCATGCCCACCATGCTCAAGGTTGTCCTTGCTCTGGGGTCCCTTGAGGCTTTTGGCCCACTGCAGGCAGGCAGAATTGGGTAACCTCTGTCTCTCCAGCTACTAGAAGTGTTGGCTCTTCTTGAGCCTGTGGCTGGAATCTTAGACTAACACAGGCAGTTTTTGTTGTGGGAATAGGAATTTTACATGAGCTCCCCAAAGTGGTGTATGTGTGTGTCACTCTTATTCATCTTCCAAGCATCACATTTTTTGTCTCCTTTTTTTTCAGTTGAAGTAATGGTATGCCGGTAGTCAGTCCAGGCATGACCTTTGGGTAGGGCCATCCCTGCAAGTTCAGAGAGGAAAATGGCCTGAATCACATTGCAAACTCCAGTTTCTAATCACTTATTTTTACCAGTTTCTGACTGGACTTGAAGATCATTTCATTATCAGAGAGTGCCATCTCGCATCAAGACACAATGGTTGTTTTGAGGAAAATTAATGATTTTTCTGGTAAAGATGACCAGGCCACCTTATTCATAAGATTATTTAGATCTATAAGATTTGGTGAGCAGAGCTCATCTGTCTGCAACAACTTGAAAGAGCCCTTTTTGGAGGGAAACAAACTAGTGTCCTATGGTCTTGGTATCTCCAGGTCAGTCACAGCTTCTGTGGAAATATTTTTTTAAAGGAAAACTGAGTTCAGGTGCCATCATTTTCTTGTTCTGATCAGCATCTATGATCTTGATGTCAGTTTTGCAGCCAAAAAGAGCATAATGTTTGACAAAGGTAGCATCTGAAACAGAGAAAATCTGTAATCTGAAGGGCAACAGATAATTGCACATGTTGGTTCCCAAAAAAAAACCCTTGCATAAATGTCAGAGCAGTGGAAATAAGAACCAAATCTGTGCACAGAACTTGTCTTGGTAGATCAAGATAGAAAGAAATTTACAAATTTTATGTTTTGTTTGCTGAGAAGGTGGAAGGGAGGAAGCACAAGAAACAAGTGAAATGCCAGGAAAGACAGAAATAACACTTTAAACATGAGAAGAGCCGCTGAAAGTGTGTGATGGTGCAAAGCAAGAATCCCGGGGGAACAGAACAAAACAAGGAATGTTTTTTGAACTGAGAACTCACAGTCCAACCATAACCTTGGAGCTGCTAAAGATAACCAAGGGAGGGGTGCCTCACCTTTGACCACTCGAAAGGAATGCAGTAGATCCCAGCTAGACATTTATGCTTCCTCTCCACTCAACGAAGACAGGCAGTTATCTCCAGTGCCTAAAATAAAAGGGATGAATTGCCCTCTAGAGGTGTGTCTTTTTCCAATAGCCACTTAAGCTAAACTACTAATTTACAGACAAAGTTTGATGAACCCGCCCTTGGTTCCAGTAAAGACTGGCCATGGAACATGCGGCTGCAGTTTATCAGAGAGGTTTAAATCCAGAGACATCCTTTCACACAGCAAGGCTGCTGGGCTACCTTAGGAAATGGTTCTCATGCTGGCAGCTCCCTGTGCTGAGCAAGGCCACAGACTCATGCCAGAAGAAAATATTGCAAAAGGTCGTAAGCCTGGCATCTAGGTATGCCTGGTGGACCGCAGTGTACAAGACGTGCTGAAAATATCTGGTCCGTGTCCTGGAAAAATTTTTGTGGCTCATAAAAAAAGGTCCATGGGGTTGTAGAAATGCCACAGCTATTGCAGGAAGAAAACAAAGAGCTGCATTGTGCATGTGTGAGGCTGAAGTAGCAAGTCTCCCCAGGAGCAGGAGGAAGTCTGCTGTGTGTGACTGTGTGTGAAGTGTGACTGTCCCCGTGCCAAGGTCTCTGGGTGCATGCACGCTGCAAAAGGGGCTGCCAGCCATTCCATGGCCTGTAGCCAGCTCAGGTCCAGCTGGAGCCAGCGCCCATGTATTCCTAGCAGGCCATGATAAGAAGCACTAGTAGACCAGAAAAGTGTTGTTAGCAGTATGCCATAAAAGTAGTCTACTGGCAATGGAAAAAGAGTGTTTATAAGAACAGCACCCAAAAAAAAAAAAAAAAAAAGACTATCTTTTGGCATATAAAGTAGTCATATTTACAGGAATTTCCATATCAGAGTCATATCTGTACCACTGTAGGAGGGCACAGGAAATATAGCTTCCAGCACAGTAAACACTTCAGGCTCAGTCTCCCTTGGGTCCTCTGCATTCAAGCATGAATCCCCGTTTCTTGCTGCTTGCCATCCATTATTGTATGACAGGTCGGTTTTATCTCCCTTCATGTTGGCAGCTCTCTACTTGACCTGTGTGGTCAAAATGGTTAATTAGGAAGGGTAATACTAGGGAGCATAGGTTTAGTGTGTAGATTTGCATTGACTTTTGGTGAAGAAAGTCTTGTTGTAATCCAGGACCTTAAAATTACATATGACTTGATACAAAGAAGAGTGTTTATTCACTAAAATGGATGAAACATATTTTAAGTGTCACAGCTTAAGAAATGAAAGAAAGTCGTGTTTAAGGTAATTAAAGTTACCAAATAAAACATGGTCTATCTCTCTCTTTCTTTCTCCTAACTTGTTGTCCATCAAGAATTCAGTCTCTCTGTAGGTTAAGCAGCAGGCTGCATGCCTTGGCAGCATATCCCATCTGTGTGAAAGATTACCTTTATAGCCAGTATCCTACTTGAAGTCCTTCAAAGGATCTGGACAGATTTAATCTTTATGTATCTTTAAGTTTCACAAAATCTTTAAGATTCACAAAAATGCAAGTCTTGATGGACTCTCATTTCTTTGCAAGCAATACAGCACTTCTGTCTTGCAAGGCTTGCACAGTACTTTGCATTTAAAGCTTTATTGGTTCTGTTTTGCCTTGGTCCTGGAGGATTTGTCTTCTTCTTAGCTGTGGGATAAATGAATCATCCTGTTTGGTTATTTGGCTCCCAAATATGCCCGTCATAAGTGCTAGTTAGGCCAGGCTATGCCTGGAAGTAGATGATATTATGTTTGGTTACTTACAAAAACAACAAAAAAAAAGAAACTTAAAAGTGACTTGTGGCTTTCAAGCTGGAGATACAGCTGAACTCACAGCTAATTAAGGAGTATCACTGCATGTGTCTGTTGTGACTACCACTCTTTTCCTTTCTGACTT